ACGGTAGTTTATTAGTGGTAGGAGATGGAGACGACACATTGGAGATGCATCTAAGTCAGTAACAAACGGTTCCAGATTTAAAATCCGTTACTAGTGGTGATGGCGGTGGTAAGGTTGCCGTCGACGGTGGATGACGGTGGTGAGGTCGCCATCAGCGATGGTGGCTGTTGTGGTGTTCATCAGAAGATGAGGTTGAAGGAGGTGAGAAAGTTTTTTTTTTTTTTTAGGGTAATTATGAAAAAATATTGTCCACTCAAAAGTAATAGAATGAGTTCTACATAAAGACCATTATGGCCCTTATTGTCTTTTTTTATTATTATTTATAAAAATCTTAAGAAAATACAAAATATCAAAAAAAATATAAAAACAACTTTAATTATAAGCTAAAAATAGGTGGTTCTTAAGTTTTTAACCTTTAGTGGTTCTCATTTGATCTTTAACACACACACATATATATATATATATATATATATATATATATATATATATATATATATATATATATATATATATATATATATATATATATATATATATATGTGGGATCCGTTGAGAACTCATAGTTTCCCGAGAACCCGAAAACTAAAGGTGGAACGTTAGATCAAAATTAACTTATTAAGGGCATGATCGTTCTCTTATCAATCTCATTTAATGTTTGATTTTTTGTGTTATTGGGAATATTAATAAAAAAATATAAAAATTAACCTAATAAATCAAATTTTCGGATTTTTTTTAAAATAATAATTTTCAAATTTTTAAAAATATGCAAAATTTTTAATTTTTTTGAAAAGCATGAATTTTTTTAAAAAAGTTGAAAAAAAATATAATTTAAAAAAAAACATGTAATTTTTTTAAAAACAATAATTGTTTAAAAATCAGTAAATTAAAAAAAACAAAATATTTAAAAAAACTATAATTCTTTTAACCAAAAAAATCAACGTTTTAGGTGCATATATGCATATTTTTTCAAGTGCATATATGCATATTTCATATACTATAATATTCATAAGTAAATCATAAAAAACCCATTTTTATTTACTAATCTATAAACACAATATTACAAGTATTTTATTGATACAAAATAAAATATATAATATAAAAAATGCGACAAATTTTCAAAAAGTTTTCAAGCCTTCATGTCAAGATATTCATATTTTCTTCAATTTAGCATTTTTCACCTCTTCAATATTTTCCATAAATTCTTCCATATCTACAAGAAAAATAAAAAAAAATAATTAATGCAAGAATGCTCACAAAAAATGCATATGTATATATCATATAAGATTCACATGTGATTATATCAAGTAAGATTTACATATGATTAGATAATATGATATTCATATGTGGTTGTATCTTCTAAGATTTAAATGTGAAATTCACAAGAAAATTAAAAAAAAAATTAACGAAAAACACTCACACAAAATGCATGCGTGCATATAGACGTAATTCATATGTGTTTCACTTGTGATTTACATGTGAATCACATGTGATTTAGATGTGAATCACATATAATTTGTAACATCTTGTTTCAGATCGTTTCCATTTCGGGGTGGTGATCTAGGATTGGGTATTGGTAGCCTTAGGATCTTTGAAGAGTTGAGTTTTTGTCTCATTTGGAGGTGGATGATGTATACTGGATGATCCGGGTATTTGGTTTGTGTTTTGGAATTAAAGGGTATTTCGGTAATATGTCAACTCGGGCTTCTATGGAAAATGGATGTTTGTTCGGGATATGGTAAGACATGTATGGGTTGATTAAAGCATGGAGCTTCTCGTTACCTTTTTATGGATATATGGATCGTCAAAATCGGACAAATATCGAAGAAGTTATGGCCTTCAGAATGTGTTAGGGTTTAAAGGGAAACCCTAGTACGCGGGGCGTACCTAGGGCGTACGCGGGGCGTGCTATTGTGGAGGAGGGTGCGCGAGGCGTAATATGGTTTACGCTGAGCGTAGTGTGAAGGGCTGATCGGGGGTGCGAGACCTCGTACACTGGGCGTACGAGGAGTACGCGGGGCGTACGGGGGGTTAAGTGAAAACCCTAATTTCTAGTGTTGGACCCCATTTAAACACGCTTATATCATTTGGACCAAACCCTAAATAGCTTCCATAGCATCTTTTCGTCCTTAAACCCCATATTTTCAAGAGGGTGTGAGTTTTGAGCCTAAAGGTGATTTTGGTGACCATTTTAGTGGATTTGCAAGAAGAAGGAGGTGGTGTCCAAGCTTTGAACGTGGGAAGAGCTTGAGGGTCCTGCATCTAGAGTATCTTGGAGAGATTTTGAAGGTAAAAAGCTTACACCTTGCTTATCCTTTTTGCTTGTTGAGTTAGGGTTTTCTAGAAGTCTATTTTTGAGTCCATAAATCCTCTCTTGTGAGTTTGGGCAACTCCATAGGTTAGGGAAGTTAGATCTGAGGTTCTTGGGCTTGGTCATAACATAAAAATGTTAGCTTGATGACTTCTATGGCTCCATTCATGAATTAAGACCTTTGGAAAGGTCTTAATGAGATAGAATGGGTTGTTGGTATCTTATATGGCAAGTAAGGGCATAAAGTTGCCAACTTTATGCCTTAGGACCTTAAAAGCAACTAAGATCTGGGTTTTGGTCAAGGTGACTTTGTGCATTAAGCACTTAATGGAGTTTGAAGCAAGGCAGCTCGTACGCTGGGCGTACTAGGTTGTATGTTGCATGTACAAACCATAAGCTTAGTACGCTAAGCGTGCTGAAGAGGTACGTTGGGCGTACACTTCTAGTGAGTCTTGGGCCTCCGACGGATCTTTGAGCCTTTTGGGTTTGGACTTGCTAGTGTAGTGGGCCCTGATTTTATGATTGAGCCTTTTGGGCTTTATGGCCCATTATATTTTGGACCTGGATGCTAGGCCCATTAATGAAGAAAGACTTTTGGGCCTTATTGGGCCTTGTGTCATTTGGGTTTGGGCTATCTTTTGGGGATTGGTTGCTTGGGGCTTTGTTGGGCCATCTGTAATCAAGTGTTTAGATTGGGGAAATGTTAATGGGCTTTAGGGTAAGGCCCAAGTAAGGGTTTGGGCCCAATTTGGAAAATTGGGCCATAAGTGGGCTTTAGATGATTATTGGGTTGTGGACCTTTATGATTGAGAGTTTGGGCCTTAGTCTTGGACCAAACTAGGCGAGGGGTAAAATGGTCTTTTTACCCCATATATGGATTATTGGCTTTGGAGTTTGGAACCCAATTGTTAATTAGGTGTTATTTGTTTGATAGCACGGGTTTATAGCGGATCTGCAGTTAGAGAGTATCTGTGGGTTTCAACTATTTGAGGTGAGTCTTCTCACTATATCCATGGGTCGAAGGCACCAATGCCGACCCATTACTTGTTATGTGGAATGCTAGTTGCCTCTGTGATGCTTGCATTAAAGACCATGGGGGGAGCCCACGGCACTTGGTTATCAAACCTTGGGGGGAGCCCATTACATTCCAAGTATGTTATGTTTGGGTTGAAATATACCCCAGGGCGGGGCCCACTATGTTATGTTTGGCAATTGTCTGTATGTTGCAAGATATTCTATGGTTACATGTTATGGTATTTTGGGGAAATCATTAAGCTTCGTGCTTACGGTTTTCAGTTTATGTTTTCAGGTACTTCGGTTTTCAAATGGAAAACTCGGGATGATTGCAGAGCACACACCACATGTTTTCGTATTTTGTGAATTACTCTGACTTGATGATATTTTGCTAAACCTTTGTTCCTTGGTTTTTTGGGAAAGATATCTATTAATGATTTATTAATTTAAAAACAAAAAGTTTTATGTCTTGATTTTCGGGACGTTACAAGTTGGTATCAGAGTCTTGGTTTGAGGGATTCAAACATGCTTTCGGGTGTGTCTGAACTCAAACTGAGGATTTGGTAAAGTTTTTAAAAGAAAAGTATTTTCAAGAAAAGAGTTTTCTAAGATAAGAAAAGGGTGTGGTGCATGCAATCAGCCGAGCTCAAGTAAGTTTTCCCAGAATACCCATACATGATATTTGTTATGATTTGATTGATGAATATGTGAATCGCATGCTAGTTAGGGCTAAGGATCTGCTCAGTTATTGCATGATAGAATGCTAGGAGAGATGCCTTTATATGCATATTGTATGAGCTGGTAGACTTGCATGCTAGTGCTGATTAGTTATTGGTAGATTGGCCTGATATGTGATGCCTTGTAGTCTTGGGAGTATTGGATGCTATGCTGAGGTGGGAATATCTATTGGAATAAGTAATTCCTAAGTGTATGCTTTAAAAATTGTATACAGTTAGGATCTTATAGTCCTAGAATAACTCATTTTGCCTTATTTCATGTTCCTTGTCTGGTTGTGGTTCTAGGGTAGAGTCTGTTATTCGACAGTCTATTTGATCCTATTCTGTGTATAATTTGCATGCATAAGGCAACCGGTAGTAAGGGTGGAATTTCTAGAATGAGTTGTGGTGTGTGGGCTAAGTGTCCTATGGATTGGAGTGTTACTGCACGAATGTTGCTTGCTTTGTGCTTTATGGAACTCTTAGATGATGAGAGTCAGCTACTAAGTGAATATGATGGTATTCATGAGGTGGGTGACTGGAATTATGGGGAGTTTTTCAGCAGTTGATGGCAGGGTGAGGTCGGGAACCTACGAGAGCCTAGGAAGTGCTGCAACGGGTTTAGTCGCGTTGTTTAGTGAGCTTTTGGTGCACCAGTTTGAGAAGGTGACTTAGAGGATTCAGGACGATTCTTGAGGAAAGTATGGATAGGTGGGGAAGGTAATCGACTCATATACTTTCTTTATTGGTTCTCAAATCTCTACCACAATTGACGCAAGAAAGGTAGTTTTTTTTCATGTGGCGTTAACTTCTTGATTGTTGGATTGATAATTATTGATTGATTTTGTGATAAGGAGAAACTGTATACATCTTTTCTCTTGATTACTTCTTATATTACTCCATATTTGCTTCTAAGATACCTGATTTACTTATACTTCTAGTCTTCTTGATAAGAAATTGACATGAAGAGGGCAAATCTTGATAAAACACATAATAAGAAAAAGGCAAAGCTTGATAAAACAGATACACATTCTGCTGCTGTAGCTCCTCAGGTATTTCATTATTTTTTTTAACTTTTCCCCATCTAAATTATAAAATTTCTGAAAACAGACCCTCCTTTTTTTATTTCAGGATGTTGAACTTGAAGAAGAAGCTGATGACATTGATGTTGTGGAGGTAGATGTTAAAGTAGAGGGTGAAGAAGATCATGTAAAAATGGAAAGGGAAAGGTGGTCTGAGGTATGGAAGTATTATACCAGACTTCCAATTGGTACAGATAGTAGGGAAATGGCTAAATGTGATAAGTGCAAAAAAAGATACATTTGTGAAACAAAAAATGGGACAGGTTGCTTGAGAAATCACATTGCAAAGTGTCCAAGAAGGGACAACAGTGACATAACACAATTCATTTTTGCAAAATCAGGTGGTTCCATTTCAATAAATTCCACAGTTTTTAAACCCAAAAGATTTCGTGAACTTATTAGTGAAGCTATTGTCAAGCACGACCTTCCCTTTAAGTTTGTAGGGTATGAGGGAATTAGAGAAATCTTTAGTTACTTAAATGAAAAAGTTACCACAATTACTGGAAACCCTGCTAAAGAAGATGTGCTGAATTTGTTTAAAAGAGAAAAAGGAAAACTCAAGAAATTGTTTGAGTTACTTCCTGGTCAGATTTCATTAACTGCTGATTTGTGGTCTTCTATTAACATAGACGGTTTCTTGTGTGTTACTTCTCACTTTATTGATGAGGAGTGGAAGTTGCAAAAAAGAATTTTGAACTTTCAATATATGCCACCTCCACATAATGGCGTATGTTTAACTGAAACAATATCTACTTTATTGACCAATTGGGGGATTGATAAAAAGTTGTTTACAATCACGTTAGATAATGCTGCAAGTAATGATACCTTTGTCAATCTCCTAAAAGGTCAATTATGTAATGAAGGTGCACTTCGTAGTAACGGGGATTATTTTCATGTTCGATGTTGTGCTCACGTGTTGAATTTAGTTGTGCAAGATGGATTGAAGGCTATTGATGAAGGGATTGTCAAAATTAGAGAATCTATCAAGTACGTGAAGGGATCCTCAATAAGGAAAAGAAACTTTTTGAATTGTGTGAAACAGGTTAATTTGAATCCAAAAAAAGGCTTGCGACAAGATGTTCCAACTAGATGGAATGCTACTTTTCTTATGATTGAAAGTGCTCTTTTTTATCGTCGTGCTTTTTTCCGTTTAGCACTAAGTGATTCTAATTACTTAGATTGTCCAAGTAATGAAGAATTGGGTAAATTAGAAAATATTTTCAAATTTTTGGAAGTATTTTATGAAGTCACATGCATTTTTTCTGGAAATAAGTATTGCACAGCAAACTTATATTTTCCTTCGGTTTACGTTATTGAATCACCCATGTCTTATAGAGCATCAACCGTTTCAACAAGTGATTCAAGTAACAGTGTTTACAAAAAGAAAGATGACACGACACTTAGTAAAAGCACGAGAGAAATGCTACAAGTAAGAAGTTGTTTTTAGTAATTAATTGTTTTTTATAATTAGTTTATTTCATAAGTTTTTAATTTATACTAATTAGTTTTCTGTTTTTATAGGAGTTCACAGTGTATGAAACTAAGGAGTTTGCTTTGTCTCAAAAATCACAATTAGAGATTTATCTAGATGAACCAAGAAGTGACATAACTGAAGATATAAATGTACTTTCTTTTTGGAAAGCTTATCAATATCGTTATCCGGAACTTGCTTCCATGGCTCGAGATATTTTGAGCATCCCCGTCTCCACGGTTGCATCCGAATCAGCCTTTAGTAATGGTGGTCGTGTTCTTAATCAATATCGGAGTTCGTTGAAACATGAAAATGTTGAAGCTCTAATTTGTGCAAAAGATTGGTTGTTTGGGATTAAAAGGTAATTTGTATTCTTCTTGAAACATTTGTATAAAGTATTTAATATTTTTTAATATGTTTTTAATATTGTTTGTAGGTGATGAAGAGTTATGTTTACAAGATCTTACAGAAGATGTTATGAAGTTGGATAGCAATGCCAATGGTACACATGAAGAAATGGAGTCACAAGCTTGAAGACATTTAGCAATATTTTATGTTGTTTTATGTTATTTTCTGTCACTAAATGCGTATTTATTATGCTTAATTTAACTTTTTTGCAAGAACTATGAATGACATTATGGAATTGTTTTTTTTTTGGTAAATTATTTTGTGTTATCGGTTTTTTCGTGTTTTTTATTTTTTCGTGTTCGTGTTAACGAAAACAAACACGACATCGTTTTGTGTCGTGTTCGGGTTGAGGGAAAATAATTTGTGTCGTGCCGTGTTAGATAAAAACACGAAACAACTGCCCGATTTGCCACCCCTACTAAAAGCTCCATAATGGATAAAGTTTCCAACTTTATTGTAACACCCAGTCTAGGTATTATTTACATTTTGGTCCCTTACATATTGAATTACTGCTTTTGGACCTTATTATTATGGAATTTGGAGGAAGGAGGGACCATTTATGCCAACTTTGGATTTTGGAGGCAGAGCCCGAACGCGGGGCGTTCTCCTGAGGAACGTGTTGCGTTCTCGCGCTGAATGCAAATTCTAATTTTTAGGGTTTAGGACCTATATAAACAACATTATGACTTAAGCCCTGGCCTCCTTACCAACCTCTCAACCTCAGAAAACTCTAGATAGCCTCCTTTTCTCATTCTTGTGTGTGTGTGTGGCCTTGTGAAGCTTGTTTTGGAGCTTAGAAGCTTGAAAGAAGGAAGGAGAAGCTAGTGAAGAGGAACTTAAGTATCTTAAGCTCATAGACCCGGGATAACATCATCATTTGGGACTCTTTGAAAATATAAAGTTCAAAACTTTCCTCAAGTATGCTTAGATCTAGTGTAATGATGTTTTAGACCTTTTTAGTCCCAAGAATGGATCTTTATGACTCAAATTCATTTATAGGCCTAGGGTTGCCACCCTTGATGCTAATGGTGTCCCTACATCTATAAAGTTTCGATATTTGAGGTCTTAATGGGTTCATGCAAGAGTTAGGACCACATTTATGGAAGTTGATTGCTATTTCTTGAGATTTGGACTTAGGGGGACATGCAAAGTCACCAAGTCCGTGACTTTATGATTCCATAGGTCCTAGATAGCTTGGATCTGTGTTTGGATAGCATGGCTTAAGCATTAAGTGCTTAATGGCCCGATTTTGAAAACTGGACGTGAACGCCCTGCGTAGGTCTTGGGAACGCGCTGTGTTCCCACTGGGGCTCATGATCTGAACCAAGGAGGAATGCCCAACGTTCCACAAGGGAACGCCTTGCGTTCGTTGCGTCAGTGGGCCTTTTTGGGCCATTTCCTTGGACTAGTTGATTATGGGCATTAGTGGATTATTCTTTTGGGCTGATAACGGATTTTATTGCATATTGGACTTGAGGGAAGGCCCATTTGAGAAGTTGGGCCCAATTTAGAAAATTAGGCCATAAGTGGGCCATTAGTAGGCTTGGTGAGAATATATGGATTTGGGCCTTCATGTTATGGATTTGGGCTTAGTTCATGGGCCCATTTAGATCAGGGGTAAAATGGTCATTTTACCCTAAGAAGGATTGTTTGGATTTTGACTAAGTGTTATTTGGTAATGATAGCTCGGAGAGTCGTGGGAGCAGCCGATAGAGATTCCTTACCGAGAGATTCTGCAGCCAACTTTGTGAGGTGAGTTTTCCTCCTAGGAACGGGTCTAAAGCACCAATGTCGGCCCGTTTATGTATGCTAGGATTCCGGGGTTAGCCCGATGTAGTTTATATGTTTCCGTACTTCGGTCCGATGCCGATGCAATCCCGAGGAATGTTTTTATGCTTGATGTCTTCGTGATTCTTGCATGTGTTTGTTTATGTGTTCCAAACTTCGGTCCGATGTCGGGGCAAGCCCGAGGAATGTTTAGCTTATATGTTATGTGTATGTGTTCCGGGCTTCGGTCCGATGTCGGGGCAAGCCCGAGGAATGTTTATATGTTTATGTTATATGCTTGTTGATTTGTTATATGTATACCAGACTTTGGTCCGATGCCGGGCGGGGCCCGATGCCGGACTTCAGTCCGATGTCGGGCGGGGCCCGATGTAGCAGGCAAGGCCCAGTGTATGTTATTATGTGATTATGTGTATGGTATGTGGTAGTTTGGGGAGACTCACTAAGCTTCGTGCTTACAGTTTTCAGTTTTGGTTTCAGGTACTTCCACTAGTAAGGGGAAGAGCTCGGGATGACTGCATCGCACACACCACAACATTTAGCCTGGGATGATTTACTCTGATATTTGGACATGTGATTTTGATACAGTGTTTTGATATGATATTTTGAGATACATGACTTATGATTTTTATATGACGATTGATGACTTATGGTTTTATTAACGAATTAAAAATGAAATTTTTGGGTTGTATTTTTGGGATGTTTCATTTATCCATTAGAATGGTCCAAACCACCAAGATCTAGCCTTTAAGCATCAAATGGGACCAAAAGTGCATCTTTTTCAACTTAATTCATTAAGTCCAAGTCTCCAACCTTCAGATCCGAATCACAAAGATGTTTAGATGGATAAAGTTTCCAACTTTATCCATAACAAGGTCACAAACTTTCAAGATCTAAACTTTATGCACTAAAATGACCAAAAGCTCATAACATCCAAAACTAGCTAGATCTAACAAATGCATCATCAAGATTCAAACTTTATACCTCTAGAAGATAGATCAAGGTGAATAAAGTCCAGATTTACAAGCCCCAATGAAACCAACACTTCTGCAAGAAGTTCCTTCTTTTCCAAGGTGCACCATGCATATTCCAAAGCACTCAAAATCACCTTCTTTTAGCTCAAAAGGCTCATCTAAGGTTATGGTTTCATTAAGGGGTGTTAGAGGGGTAGAGGCTGAGAATGGAGTGGGTTTGAGGGAGTTAAGGAGCTTAAATAGGGCTTAAACCACGAAAATAGGGTTTGGGCACTGATTGCGTACGCCCAGAGTACTCATGGTATGCCCAGTATACTCAGGATCCCATTAGTACGCCCAACGTACACCTTTTTGTACGCCCAACGTACTCAGCTTGGCCCAAAACCACCCAAACTTCAAACGGTCATAACTTCTTCGTTCTAACTCCGTTTTCGACGTTCTTTATATCCACGGAAAGGTATTGAGGAGCTCTACAACCCTATCTAATTACTTTTCACTTAAAACACATCGAACTAAAATCCATAATTCATAAAAGAAGTCTAAAACACTACATTCCCATTTTACCCTTCGACTCCAAGGTGCAAACCGAACTATTGAGTCACATATCTACATTACCCACATCCAAATGGGCCTAAATCTTACCTTTTTAAAGGCCCTAATCCTTATGATGACCGCTCTTCGGGTCACAGCCTCGAATTAGGAATTGATTCGGAACAGGGCGTTACATTATGGCAATCGTTGGAGCTCGCATTCTATCATTCTGTCAGCGAGAGATCGATTTGGAGCACCTGGGGAAGAGAAGGCCAGATCAGGTGAAGGCAAGGGAGGATCCCAGGAAGAGACCTAAGTCTTCGGATCAACGATTGGGAGGCCAACATGGTCGGGGACAGTGCAACACGTGCAGGAAACTGCACGATGGAGCTTGTCGTTTCAAGGGTATGGGTTGCTACAAGTGTAGCAGGATTGATCATGTCAGCAGGGATTGTCCTCGGGGGCAATCTCGTTATGTTTTCTCTGCGACCAAGTGGGCCACAAGAGGGTCGTCTGTCCGATGAGGAGGGAAGGAGCAGTGAGTGCACCCGCTCCGACTATGTTGTGGAGTTCTGATAGCCGTGAGGGTGGGGCAGGAGCCCCAGCAGAGAGGAGACGTTCATTTCTGTGTCAACCAGGGGAGCTAGTGCTCCAGTAGGTGATATTGCGGGTATGTTATCTTTTGCTTTTTCTTCGGTTGTATCTCGTGTGAAGGGTTCCAATGTGTTTGGTTGATCTTCCGATTTTTGGTCGAGATCGGTTCAGGGGTATTGTGTGGAAAGTCTATGGTCAGGATTCAGTGGGTTAGTTCTCCAGTATCACCAGAGTTCAGTGTTTTTAGTATTTGTTCTGGTACGAGAGGTGGTTGCCTATGGGGGAACTGTTGGATTGAAACACTACCGTTGCTAGTGATGTGAATATAGCAACAATTGCTGATCACTTTGAAAAAACCATTGAAGTCAAGGAATTCAATTAGAACAACTCTGATTTCTCCCACTAAAAGGTTTGCATTCTCTTATCCTCAAGAAAGTTAATCAATGAGGAAGTCATAATCTCATCAGGTGGTAAGAACTACACGGGTGGTGTAGTTGAGTCTGAGGAGCACTGGCACCCCTTCAAATTAAATTCAGATCACGACTTGAAATACGATTCCTTAGATGACGGAGATGAAGAGGACTCTGGTGAGGATGACAAAAATAATGATGAGGATGACGATGAGGGCATCTCCGACACCTGGGAAGAGAACGATGAAAACATGCAAGATCTAGAAGAGGGAGAAATTTGCCCTGATCGGAACTCTACCTCCGTCGTCGGTGATCAACCCCCAACCGTCACAGTTGGGGCAGTCGAAAGGGTCTCCAGTTGCGGATCATGTTGGGAATTCGAATGATCAGATTCAAAATCGAAGCGCCTCGCCAGTAATGGGGAACCTAAACACAACGGTCGAAATATTAAATTCCATCTTTATTGATAAAGCGGCGGAAGCTGGTACATGTATCACCACGCCTGTTGATTCCCTAATTCCACCTAATAACACCTTGGACCACACTCAAATGATTCCCGAGCCCACTCAACCCAATTCTCATCCCAATCATAACCAATTTCCATTTGGTCTTTTTTTTTTTATTTCAAACAAACCGTTCTTCAGATCCAACAAAACCAAACATAGGTAAATCACATACACACCATTAAATTGGCTCTGATAAGCTTGAGAATTCCAAGGGTAAACAAAGACGGACACAATGCTCTCCCCCTAGATTCTCTCCCTACAAAATCACTTCTCCCATCAGAGACAAGCCAACTTCCCTTGAAGTTTCCGACCTCCGTTCCTATGGTTTGACTTAATCGATTGATCTCAACAAAATCATCAGCAATTCTCCAAGCCAACCCCCTTGTCTCTCCGAGACAGCTTCCTCATCTTCTTCCCTGAAACATCGCGACGCTTCTAAGATTGGCTTGGAGGTTGGTTTTCAAATCGAAGCCGACAATCACATTCTTGTTGAAGCTCTTTCTAGCGACAATAGTGAGTGCCCAATTTCCTAATGAATGTTTTATCCCTGAATGTGTGTGGTATTGGGGAAATTCCCAAAGTTGAATGGTACATCGTCTCATCCGTTCGCAAAAAATTGGTTTCCTTTGTCTATAAGAAACTCGTGTCTCTGATTCCTCCATAATTGACTTCAAAGGTTGTTGGGGCAATGAAACCTTCTCCTATGATTTCGTCAATCCAACAGGTAGATCCGGTGGTATGGTTTGCATCTGGGATACCAACTTATACTCCTTTTTTCACTCCATTAAATCGAGACACTTCCTGGCTTGGATCAGGTTTTGCAAATATCTCCCTGGCTCCCTTATTGTGCTTAACACTTATGCTCCACAATTGGCTCTCGATAAAAGAACTCTATGGCGTGAAATTACAAATCTTAAAAATTTCATCAATGACACTTGGATTATCTATGGTGACTTCAATGCATTTCGTCGTCGTGAAGAGAGAATGAATTCTCGTTTTTGCAGGATTAGTGTTAGAGACTTCAATCAGTTCATTGCGATGGTTGATCTCAAAGAACCAAGAATGGGAGGTAGACGATTTACCTACATGTATGATGACGGGATGTAATTAAGCAAGCATGACCGCTTTTTGCTCTGCCCCAAATTCATCTCTTGCTTTCCCCTTGCATCTGTTATTGCCCTCCCTAGAGACCTATCTGATCACTATCCTGTAATTCTAATAACCTTCGCTACTGACTACGGTCCCCCTCCGTTTCGCTTCTTCAACTCGTGGCTGTTAAGAGATGACTTCAACTTAACTTTCATATCAGCATGGTATTCATTTGCAGGTTATGGGCCTCCTGATCTGTTCCTGGCCGCTAAATTAAAACGCCTAAAAAATACTGTGACAACCCGAAATTTCTATTATGTACAACCTCTCACTTCAATAAGAGTCAGAACAGTTTCTGCTAACTTTCAGGCTTTTAGGATTAAGTTCTAGTGTTTTAAAGTTAGTAATTCAGGATATGACAGGAGAGAGGATGCCCTAGGGTTTATTGTGCAACAATAATGTCCCAAAACTCCAAGAGTTTGGAGTTTACGGCCTAAACAAATGTGTTTACGGCCGTAAACCCTAAAAAGGGGGTATAAATATGACACTTAGTCATATTTTACCACTTTTCACATTTTCAAGATCCAAAACCAAATTCTCTCTCAAGTATCATCCAACTTTTCTTCAAGATCTTCAACTTGTAAGTCTTTCTAGCCCTAATAAGTTGATATCTACCCTAATCTAGTGATCTAACATGATTCCATCCGTGAAATCATTCCAAAAGTGTAGATCTTCAAGTTTCACCAAGAACACCAAGAACACACACTAGTGTTCTTGGACTTTTAGCACCTTTTCAAGCTTCTACCTAGTAAGTACTCCTACCCTAGTGTGTTATAAGGCTTGTTACACTTCTAAACATCAAGAAAACACCCAAGAAACAAAGGATCAAAGGTGTTTACGGTCCAAGAACACCTTGGACCGTAAACCCTATTAAGGGTGCCAAAGTGTGCCCTAGTTGCTTCTAAGCCTTGGAAACTAGTCTAGACCCCTTCCTTAATGTGTTTAGTACTTGAAAACAGCAAAAGACCATAAATCATTTGGGTTTACGGCCGTAAACCCAAAGACAAATGGTCCAAGGACCGTAAACTCCCTAAAGGAGTGAAATGGTGCCCTAATCTCTTCCTAAGGCTTAAACATGAAGTAGGAATGCTTCTTGTGATCTTTAAGGCTTCAAAACACAAAATGGTCAAAGAAACATGAGTTTACGGCCGTAAACTCATGGGTTTACGACCGTAAACTCAAGGAGTTATGGTCACAAAACCATAAACTCCAAGGGAGTTTACCCTTGAACCCCAAACTCAATAGCAGGGTCCTACCACCCTTAGATGCAATCCTTATGACTTATAGCACTTAAATCAAGTGTTTTACATGTCTTAGGATGTCTTAAACTTGGTAAATTAGTTGTTTTATGACTAATTGGATACATATATGTGATTATATGTTAACTAGGATCATTGTGTGTGTACAAGTCTTCACTTGACACTTAGGATCCTACATCATTCAGTTCATCCACAACCACCCACTATAGGTGAGTTCATACCCCTTAATCAATCTTTTAAATGATTTTAAATGCTTTCATGGGGGGAATACAAGTAGAAAACAGGAAGTTATAGAATCAATCACATGTGATTTATAACTGTGTTTTCAACCAACTGATTTCACATACTTCAAAATGTGATAAATACAATAGTTTTCAGTTGTTTTATACTTTGTTATCAAATGATTTACTTTTGAATCTTTTTATAAACTGACATCAAGCCATCATTATTTATTGTTCAAAACTCTTAGATGTTTTACAAAACCTCTTTCAACTTATTGTTAAAAACCATATCTATACACTTATGTTTCATATACATATGTATTGATATGAGAGCTTTCATTCTTTCTTCAGTTCCAACACTCTTGTGTAGCAAGGGTGTATAAACCTACTTGGACATTCAATTTACATTCCAGTAAACTATTATAGGTATAGTTTAGGGGATACAAACTACTATTCCTATTACAAGGAATTACACAAGAGTCAGTTCATTCATGAGTCTATACTAATACATTACATACAATATGAAGAGATACTATTACATGGATACTTTTACATGGATACTATTACATAGATACTATATGATGAGATACTATTACATATTATATGTGTAGATACTATTATATATGTACGGGACTAACCATTCTACACCCAGCTGTTAGCTACAGAGGGAAAATGCACATCGACGGATGTCTACGGTTAATACTATTCGGCAATTACTATGTCGTGTTTATCCTAGTACCAAAGGATAATACTTAAATGATTATATAATTTCCCTTTTACTTTTATTTTGTGACACATTCACATAAACGATGAGGTAGACTATATATTTATAATAATAGTCGCACATGGAAAAAACTTTCATTTATACAGAAATGCATCCTTCAAAGCACATGGGTCTTGATAGAAGACTACCTTTTATACTAGTAGGAAATATGAGATTTTCTAGGGTTTTCACACTTATACTAAATGTTTTATTAAACATTTACAAGTCTTTCATAACAGCTTTTCAAATCAATGACACCATAATACTTATGAATTCACCAGCTTTATGCTGATCTACACTTTCAAAATAACTTGTATTCTCAGGTCACCAGTAGACAGGTACGATGACCAAGTTTTGAGAAGACGGAGCACAGACAAGACTCGTCTTTTATTTTGATTACATATTTTGGTGTCTTATTACTATGAAAGAACACTAATGTATTAAAACTTTACTTTTAATGCAATGGATGATGTTGTTGCTTGTTTACTACTTTGCACTGTTATGATACTTTACATGACGTCCTCCACCCCCGAACGTTTCCGCCGTTCTTGGTTTTGGGGTGTGACAAATACACTCAAAAAGTGGCGGATATTGACAAACAACTCAGAATCTTCCACTCTCATCTCAACCAAAAGCAGAGTGGAGGAATTAGATAAGACTGCAAAAGATAGGAGATTATCGGACTCCGAGATCATTGAACCAAGGAATGGGAAAAAAGACATCCTTCACCTTGATCATATCATAATCAGAAAACTAGACCTAAAACAAAAATCAAAATTTAAATGGCTTAAGGATGGTGATGAAAACTCCAGGTTCTTTCATGGCTTTATCAACAACAGGTCTCGCAGAAATCAAATACATGGTCTTATTGTCAATGGTTCTTGGTCCTCAGATCCGCCCCTAATCAAATCAGAGATAATGGACTTCTTCAGTTCCAAGTTCTCTGTGAAATGGCCCATCAGACCCAAACTTCTCAACCCTCACTTCAAACGAATCTCTTACGACCAATGCTCTTTTCTTGATGCTCCCTTCGATTCACGGGAAATAAAAAACGCCATCATTGATTGTGGTAGTGGCAAGGCACTAGGACCCGATGGATTTACTTTTAAAATTTTGAAAACTCACTGGGAAAGCTTGGAACTTGACATAACGGCCTTTATCAAACATTTTGAAACTTTCGGCACACTCTCACAAGGTTGTAACTCCTCGTTTATTACTCTCATTCCAAAAGTGAAAGACCCCCTAACCTTGCATAATTACCACCCAATTAGTCTAATAGGTTGTATGTACAAGATTGTCGCAAAAGCCCTGGCCAATCGTCTAAAAAACGTCATTGGGTTTATAGTTGATCCGATGCAATCTGCCTATATGAAAGGCAGAAACATTCTCGAAGGTCCGTTAATAGTCAATGAATTATGCTCATGGGCTAAAAAGGTGAAAAATAAAATGTTCCTTTTCAAGTTCGACTTCGAAAAAGCCTTTGACTCGGTGAATTGGCATTACCTGGACTCTGTAATGGAGCAAATGGGTTTTAGTCAAAATTGGAGGTCTTGGATACACGAATGTCTCGACTCATCACGTGCCTCGGTATTGGTCAATGGTTCCCCCACCCTTGAATTTCCTATCTCTAAAGGCGTCCGACAAGGTGACTCGTTGTCCCCCCTTTCTGTTTATAATTGCAATGGAAGGTCTTAACGTCGCCTTGAAAAGTGCATGTGAGAAAGCACTATACAGCGGGATTAAACTCCCCAAGGAAGGACCCACCATCTCATATCTCTTTTATGCGGACGACGCAATCTTTGTTAGGGAATGGGATAATATGAACTTAAAGAATCTTGGTAGAATTCTTACTTGTTTGTAAGTCTCCTCGGGTCTAAAGGTTAATTTCAGCAAATCGCTCGTATTTGGCATATGCACTTCTAGTCTAGAAGTAAAACGGTATGCCCACACACTTGGATGCTTAGATGGAGTGCTTCCGTTCGCTTAACTAGGAGTGTCGGTTGGAGCAACATGGGTCTCAAAAGAAATTGGCTCCCCATAATTGAGAAGTTTCAGTCAAAATTATCAACATGGAAGGCCAACACACTCTTAATGGGCGGTCGTTTAATTTTGATCAAATATGTTCTTGAAAGTCTACCTACCTACTATTTTTCATTATTCAAAGCTCCCATATGTGTCATAAATACCCTTGAAAAACCGCACAAGAAATTTATCTGGAGTGCAAATGAAGACAGACGCAAGATTCATTGAATTGCCTGGGAAAAAGTTCTCGCATCCAAAAATAATGGAGGCCTGGGGGTTGGTTGCTTAAAAACCCAGAACATTGCGTTACTCACAAAATGGTTATGGAGGTTAAGTTCAGGGGAGATAGCTCTCAAGAGTAAAACCATCAAAAGCATACACAACCTTACAAATAAACCGGAAGTCACTCTATCCAAAAAATCCTTACCAGGTGTCTGGAATAACATCTCCAAAGTTCTTGTAAGTTGTGGTAATGAAGTAATAAAATTCCATGATATATTCTCCATTCATGTTGGGAACGAGAACTCCACTATGTTCTGGAAAGACATTTGGTTGGGCCATGCCACACTTCAAGACAGATTTTCCAGTATTTTTCTCTTGAATCAAACAAAAATTGCCCTCTGGCAGACAGGTGCCCACCTAGCGGTACTTCCTGGTCTTGGACATCCAACCCTTCCGGTCCTGATACTACTGATACTACTGCAGAACTTGTAACCCTCACCTCACTGGTTGCTGATGTCCACCTTAACAACAATCCAGCCAAACTCCGCTTTTTCATTTCAATAGATGGTCAATTCTCAGTAAACCTTATGCGCCATTTCCTTGACTCCAAAATCCAGCCCTACATTGGCCCTACGATCAAATGGGTTAAAACTGCCCCTCTTAAAGTTTCCTGTTTCATATGGCGTGTGAAATTGGTGGCATACCTATGACGGACAAACTTCATCGCAGAGGTATTCAATTACCCTCTTCACTTTGCCCTCTTTGCAACACTTCCTGTTTCATATGGCGTGTGAAATTGCAACACTTTGCCCTCTTTGCAACACTTCATCGCAGAGGTATTCAATTACCCTCTTCACTTTGCCCTCTTTGCAACCCTCACCTTAAAGTTTTCTGTTTCATATGGCGTGTGAAATTGGTGGCATACCTATAGCGGACAAACTTCAGCGCAAAGGTATTCAATTACCCTCTTCACTTTGCCCTCTTTGCAACACTTCCATGGAAACCATTGATCACCTGATGGTCGAATGTAATTTTGCCACCCATTCTAGATATTCAAATGGTGTGATATAGATGATCCTAGGATTTCTATTGTCGTGGAGCTTCTTGATTTCGCAGCGAGATGGGGAAACTGTCCCAAAAACAGACTGAAGTTCATCACAATTGTTTACTGTCTAATATGGTGTATCTGGTTAGCACGTAACAACAAGGTGTTCAACAAACTATTCTCTTCCCCCGCGATCGTGGCCGATAATATAATTTCCTTTATCATTCTCTTGGGTTAAACGTAGGGGTAATATATAGGTGATTTAAAATGGTCAATTTGGAGTGTATCCCCCTTTAGTTGTTTCTGTATCTTTACTTTGTTCCTTTTGCCCGCGTTTTAGGTTCTTGCTCATTCATGGTGCCTTTTAATATATTTGCTGTTTAACAACATTATTTATTTCCAGAGAGATTGAAACACGAAAATTTGCATGCAAAACACAAACGGTTGGTATTGGGGCAACGACGGAGCAACTCCCCATGCTGATATGATAGAAACCTTCTGACACAAACACAAAATTCGAAGTATCATCAACCTGACACGAATCAATCGCCATTGTTAGATTCTATAGACAACCAAAAGTTGTACAGCTTTTTCACACGTACAAACCACAACACAAATATTTTTGCTTCTAGGGTTTCAGAAATCAGTGGATTCGAATGGCGTTGTTACCCAAATTGCTGTATAAGAAGTCGCCCGATGGACTTGTCGATGTCTCTGAAAGAATATACGGTAATTATTTACCTTCTATGGAGTAATTAGATTTATATGTGCATGAATGTAATGCGATCACCTTTTCTGTTAAAACCTTTCTCCTTAAATCATCACTTCAATTCTATATAGGTTTAGATGCTACTTCTAATTTGGGGTTTTGATACATTAGGTAGTTGAATTTCTGGACAAAAAGGTGTTTGATTATTGATTTCTGGTTCCGCTTTAATCTTCAACTAGTGTTGGATTATGAACTTGCGGTATTATTGTGATATTGGACGGCTTAAAGCTCTAGTGAAACTATTGAAATAAAATACTACAGGGAATTGCTTACCCTTGGTATGTGGACACATTAGTAAACTGAAACTAGTAACATTAAGATATGATTGTATTGGGGAACCTTCTCTAGGTCATCACCCCTCCTATTATAAGGGATGTGTTCTTGAACCAATGGCATTTTCTAGTAGATTAGAGGTCAGTATAATGTGTATACAACTCAATGTGTGTAATGTGTGTCCGAATTCTGTATAAGTATGAATATATATTTAAGATTAGAACTTGTTTTCGTTTGTTTGAATGACATGCCCATTTGGTGTAGTCTTTGACTCCTGTTTCAGATTTAAATACTGGGAACAAGAAGAATACAACGCCTACGTGTGCAACATCATAAGTCAATTTCAAGAAACTTACCCTGATTCTTCAGTCATGATTTTCAATTTTCGGGAGGGAGATACAGCAAGCAAGATTCACCAATTTTTATCAGAATACTTTATTACTATAATGGACTACCCTCGGCAGTATGAAGCTTGTCCATTGCTCCCAATGGAGGAGATCCACCATTTTCTTAAATCATGCGATAGCTGGTTCTCTCTTGGACAACATAACATTGTGCTAATGCACTGTGAGGTTGGTTGTTGGCCAGTTTTAGCTTTCATGTCGGCTGCTCTTTTACAGTTTACTTTACAGAAAACATTACACTGCTGCAAATAGGGCCCTGGACATGGTTTATAAACAGGCACCACCTGATGTGTCGTCACAGCTGATGTCACCATTCAATTCGTTAGCTTCTCAGTTGAGGTACTTACAGTATGTGTTAAAGAGGATTGATGATGAACAATGGCCTCCATCAGACAAACCACTCACATTAGTTTGTGTGATGATGAGAATGATTCCTGATTTTGATGGAAAAGGGGGTTGTTGTCCTATATTTAGAATTTATGGGCTCGATCCTTTGTTACTTGTTGATAAAACCTCTAAACTTCTTTTTTCAACCCCAAGGAGGAGGAAGAACGTCCGCTCTTATAATTAATCAGGTAAGATGTCCCTATCGTCATTATATTATGCTATACCACTGGTTTATCCAGATTATCTTATTTCCAGCTCTGAGAAGTGGAAGTGTATCTTGCCCTTATTAATTTTTGGGTTAGTGACATAGATTATGTATGGGTAACAAACAATATGATATCTATTCAATCGGTCACCTAAGATCTAATTGTGTTCGGTAGAGCACTAAACATCAATTTTCTTTTTTCAATGCTGGCAACGTAAGCTGCTGTAGCCAGTTTAACAGTTTTTAATGTCATATAATGGTAATAAACTACTTGAAAAATTTGCTCATTCAGTCATCAAAGTTCTAATTAATTGGGTCCAGTAGAGCCCTAAAAATCAAATTTCGTTCCAATCTTGGGAAGTATCCATGCGAACATGGCATCTGGCTTGGCTCCTATATAGCAAATTAGATTTTATTCTTATTATATGTTTTATCTACATTTCAATATGGGTTTTGTTTGGATGAAAATTTCCAAGAAACATATCAAACCACAGAATATTAATTTCCACATAGGAGAAGCTGGATGCCACGTGTTTAGGGCTCTTTTGGACCTGATTATAACTTTGGTGACCGAGTGAGCAAATTTCAAATAGTTTGTTGTCATTATTTCAATAAAATGAAAATCAAATTGCCATGTTCTCACAAATTTTTTTAAACCGGCTACAATTAATATACTACAACAGGTTACGTTGCCAACATTGAAATGTTTCGATGTTTAATGCTCTACTGAACACTATGTAAGAGCCATGTTTCTTATTCTTAAAGATTATCAGTGCCGGTGATTGGTTTGTCCATCTTCTGACCTTTGCCATGCATCTCAGGCAGAAAGTGATGTGGTCAAAATAGATATTAATTGCCATATTCAAGGTGACATTGTGCTGGAGTGTCTTAACTTGCATGATGATGACATGGCAAAGGATGATATGATGTATAAGGCCATGTTCAACACAGCGTTCATCAAGTCAAATACTTTAGTGCTTAATTGTGATGAAATCGACGTATTATGGGACATTAAGGATCAATTTTCTAAAGACTTTAAAGCTGAGGTATTTTTCTTTACGTTACTCTCGGTCACAGGACATAATGATTCTGGTTCTTTTTTGAACTTGATAATTAGGAAACCTCACAAATATTTGGTATTTGTTTGCACAAACATATATTTTGTATCTGAGTGGCTTTTATTATTATTGGATGAAGCTTTTTTTCTCCGAAATGGAAGCATTTGGTAAAGTTCAAGAAATGTTTAGCGGTGTGGAGTGGCTTGTACCTCCACCACCGACATCACCAGCGCCGCCGCCGCCGCCACATATTTCAGTTCCACCATCACCACCAGTGTCCACCACCACCACCACCATTTCCACCACCTCCTATAAATAAACCGCGTGTTTTATCAAGGACAACTGCTGTGAAAAGTCAACCGGCTAAAAAACTGAAGACTTTGCATTGGTTAATGGTTAATTAACTTATATAGAGTTGGACAAGGAAGCTTGTGGGCTGAAGCAGAAAAATCTGGCGAAGCTGCAATGTGGTTATTTTTTCATTGACATATTGATGTGGAACTCCTGCTAATTTTTTCTTCTTTGATTTTTTGATTAGGGTACCGGAGATTGATATGTCGGAACTTGAAACACTCTTTTCTGCCTCAAAAGCAAAATCTGAAGCAACTAATAAACCGGAAAAAGTACAACTGGTAATAATTGATTTTCTTTCTTGATTGAATGCAAATCTTTAACTGCTGATATTTGTACGGGAGATTTGTTGATATTTCACACTTGTTGCAGATTGATCATAATCGGGCATATAACTGTGAAATCTTGCTTTCAAAGGTGAAGACACCATTGCCTGAATTGATGGTAATCTCAAAACATTATGCATTTATTTCAAAATGAAGTTTTCTAATAATTGTTTACGTTTAATGATTTAGCTGTGAAACTTAACAGGAATATGTCCTTAATTTGGATGATTCAGCAATGGATGTTGATCAGGTGGATAACCTTATAAAGTGCTGCCCTACAAGGGAGGAGATGGAAATAATTAAGGTGTATTTACATTCTACATTACATTACATACCCACATCTTTTGTTCATACTATAACTTACATTTTATATATATATGCTTAGGGCTATGAAGGAGAACCGAAAAATTTGGGCAAATGTGAACAGGTACATAATACCCGTCTTCTGGATTTATATCATTAGTATGTCAATGAAGTCAGGCACCGAAATCTAAAAATTTAGTATCTGATTTTTTGTAACAGATCTTCTTAGAGCTAATGAAAGTTCCACGTTCGGAAGCTAAACTCATAGTTTACTCTTATAAGTTACAGTTTAGTACACAGGTCAGGAGATATTATTCTTTGCATTTCCTGCTTTCTTATATTAACCGTATTTTAACTTTACTGTGATTTTTGCAAATTTAGGTTTCAGATCTTGCGAATAGCCAAAACGATGTATATTTATCAATAGAACATGCAAGTTATTAGTTACTTTTGACTTCAATTTATGCAGTTATTCAGTGACTATAAGATTGGATTAAAGTTTACTTTTTTATTATGTTGGTGGTGATTATATCAGATTAGGAGTTCTGTAAAGTTGAGGAGAGTGATGCTGACAATTCTTTCTATTGGAAATGCTTTCAACCAGGGAACTGGAGCAGGTTTGTTTTCTATTTTTATTTTTCTCTTTGGAGATACAAAAATTAAAACAGCATGGCTTTGGTTTTAGGTGCTGCTGTTGGGTTCAGATTGGATAGCCTCTTAAGACTTAACAAAACGCGTGACAGGAGCAATAAAACGAATCTCATTTGTAAGGTAAGATTTTTATTTATTTGTTTGTTTTCTTTAAATATATGTATATTTTTCTTTTACTTTGTTATGGTATCCATGCTGTATATGTTAGCTTCTTGCAGACAAACTGCCTGAACTTCTGGATTTTTCATTTTTCCAAGGAACTTGGCAGCTTGGAACCTGCATCAAAGGTGATCTTTGTGGATTCACTTTTTTTTATTCAATAAAGTAATGTTAGTTTCGTTTTTGTTGATTAAAATGATGAATTTATTCCAGATACGGCTAAAAATCTTGGCAGAAGAAATGTGTATGATTACAAAGGGACTAGAGAAAGTAGTCATAGAAACGAAATTGTGTAAAACAGATGGAAACGTGTCTAAATGTTTTCGGAAGGTATGCACATAAAGTTGGTAGGTAGCATAAATAGGACCTGCCAAAGTATATGGAATTTGAGGGAATTGGAATCCAAAGAATTGCACTCTTATCGGAAACGGAATGGAATTCAACAACCAAAATTTAATATTTTTTTTTGCATTTTCACATAAAATATATTTTACTATTAAAAAATTATATAATGAGGGTATTTTGGTCCTGTATTAAAAATGGAATGGAATTGGATCCCTTCCATTCTCTACGAACTATATATGAAATCCATCTAACATGGAATGTGAATGATTCCTATGGACATGTATTTCCATCTTTTTGGCAACCAAACTCATCATGGAGTGGAGTCTCATTCCAATTCGGTCTGATCTGCTAACCAAACTTGCCCTTATTATTGGACTGGGACTGGTAGAGGATCGGGAGTTTGACTTTGACTTGAACTCTAACCGTAAATCTTTTATTTTGGTTTTTCTTGTTCAGTGTCTGAGAAAGTTTCTTGCTTCTGCTGAACCTGACGTGAAGTCCCTGGCTGCACTTTACTCTGTGCTGGTAGGTATAAAAATTCCTGTAAATATAAAAATTGCTATAAGTATCCCAGTTTTTAACACTGCACTCTACACAGGGTAAAAGAGTGGATGCTTTAATTATTTACTTTGGAGAAGACCCTACCAAATGCCCATATGAAAAAGGTAATCAACCATCAGAACAATTTACGTTCATGATAAAATATTCATTTGTTACAAATTGATTTCCAGTTTCTAAGTTGTGATATTGCTTTTTCAGTTGTTGAAACTCTGCGTTCATTTGTGAGAATGTTTAATCAATCCCATGATGAAAACTGCAAGCAGATAGATGCAGAGAAAGAGACGGCACAGAAAGCAGCCGAACAAGAAAGATTAAAGGCAGGTGAACCGGATAAGTTGGAAGCAGATGAATAATATATATATTGTTATAGATTCGACCTAATTAAAATAAGATTAATAAAATTAAACTAAAACTTTATGAAAGAACAAGAGAGAATGGGATAGAATTTGATCACTAGTGAAGTGTATTCAAATTGGTACCACAAGTTTCAAAGAATATGGTTTGTAAAAAAAATAAATCTATGGACTCCAACAAGCATTCCACCAATGGTACCACAAGTTTCATAAAATCATTATCTCATTTGGTTTTGAGGAAAATGTGGTAGATAACTGTCTGTATCACAAATTCAGTGGGAGTAAATATATCTTTCTGGTTTTGTATGTTGATAACATCTTGCTTGCTACCAATGATTCAGAGATTTTATATGAGACCAAGAGATTTCCTTCAAATAATTTTGAAATAAAAGATCTTGGGGAAGGCTCTCTGTTTTGTATTAGGAATCCAAATCCAATGAGACGGATCTCATAGAATTCTAGGATTATCTTAAAATAGTTACATTAAAAAAATCATTGAAAGATTTGGCATGCAAATTTGCAAACCAAGTGACGCCTTGTTTCTAGACTACATTGATATAAACTTAATGAGAGCAGATCGACTCACGAAGGAATTGCTCCCAAAGTATTTCACGAGCATACTACTCACATGCGTGGGATAAAAATTGATGATAATGTGTTTTATTGGGAGTATTTTTACTCATTTTATTTTTTTGGGTGCTTTATGTTTTTGTATCACCCGCCTTCTTAACATAAAGTACACCCATTTTTTTTTCAGTTTTTAATTTATAAAACACTTGGTGTATATTTATGTTAACTACCCACATATAAGAAGTTATCAAAAGGATCATATACACATACATGACAAGCTGATAAGAGTTGGGCGTCACCATTACAACTACTAATCTTCACTTCCTTAATGTATGTACCTAAACCTAAACCTAAACCTGTAAGGTATACATCAAACAACAAAGGGTATAGTAGTGAGTAACATGCTCAATAAACACATAATATCAATTATATATATTCACACCATCAACACATTAGTAAATCTAGCATTGCCTTTCACTCTGGATATACCTGTAACAAGTTTAACCACTCAAGTTCTCTTAATAGAAAATGTACAACTACTCGACAGTAATTTTTATTTCTCAATAATAGTATTACAACTATACAATGACTAAGCATGGTTTTATGACTACTCAAGCCATCATTGAACTCAACAACAAATTTATATTTATTCAAACTACCATTTCAAATCCTCATCTATCGAAAAATGATATTACTACAAAAACTCAACAAATAAATTACCAATTATAAACAAAGCATATTGCCACAAGGTACTCATTACGCGGCCTACCATAATTGTCTAATATTGTCACACTACTAGAAAACAAAGGCTTTTGCTACAGGAAAATAGCTACGGAAAATTTCCGTAGGTAATAACCTACACAATACCTACGGAATACCTACGGAATGAGAAATCCTAATTTGGTAACGGAATAGCTACAAAATAGCTACGGAATAGTTACAGACGAAAATCCGTAGGTATTCCGTTAGTAATTAGCTACAAAATTGTTACGGAATAGCGACGAAACTAAATCCGTTGGTATTCCGTAGGTAATTCGCTACAGATTAGCTACGGACTACCGACGGAAAAGAATAACTACAAAATAGCTACAAAATAGCAACGAAATAAATTTATATTATTATTATTATTATTATTATTATTATTATTGTTATGTTTCATTATTTGAGTCTTAAAACTATTTTTTTATCGTTTTGTTTTTACATATATAAAACACAAACAATTAAAAATAATAATATTTAGTATATCATGTATTTGTTTAATGATGTTAATTGTGGCTTAAGAACAAACATAGATAGTTTTTTGTTTATTCTGTATATAGTATTGGGTTCTATTGATGCATACGTTTGTATGTGAGTTTATGTTATATATAACTTGGTAAAAACAAAACAATCAAAGTATAATGAAGTTATGAAAAAAATAAAACGAAAAAAACGACATTTAACCCTTGAAAAATAGAAAAATAAAAAAAGACCGTAGTTAATCTGTAGGTAATACCTACGGATTACCTACCGATTACCTTTATCTGTAGGTAATCCGTAGGTATTTACCTACAGATTACCTACGGTCTTTTTTATTTTTCTATTTTTCAAGGGCCAAATGTCATTTTTTTTCGTTTTATTTTTTTCACAACTTAATTATATTTTGATTGCTTTGTTTTCACCGAGTTATACATAACACAAACTTACATACAAACGTATGCACCATTAGAATCCATTACTCATTTAGAACTTTTTTTATATGAATCAAAGTTATTTTCTAAATACAAATACAAATAAGTACACACATTTACATACACACCATATGTATGTATTATGTTTAGTATATCATGTATTTGTTTAATGATGTTAATTGTGGTTTAAGAACAAACAGAGATAGCTTTTTGTTTATTATATATATATATATATATATATATATATATATATATATATATATATAGTAATGAGTTTTAATGATACATACGTTTGTTTGTAAGTTTATGTTATGTATAACTTGGTTAAAACAAAGCAACCAAAGTATAATTAAGTTGTGAAAAAAATGAAACGAAAAAAACGAAATTTGACCTTTGAAAATAGAAAAATTAAAAAATATCGTAGGTAATCTGTAGGTAAATACCTACGGATTACCTTAATCTGTAGGTAATCCGTAGGTATTTACCTACAGATTACCTACGGTGTTTTTTTATTTTTCTATTTTTCAATGGTCAAATGTGGTTTTTTTCGTTTTATTTTTTTCACAACTTAATTATACTTTGATTCCTTTGTTTTCACCGAGTTATACATAACATAAACTTACATACAAACATATGCACCATTAGAACCCATTATATATGTATGTATTATGTTTAGTATATCATGTATATGTTTAATGATGTTAATTGTGGTTTAAGAACAAACATAGATAGTTTTTTTGTTTATTATATATATATATATATATATATATATATATATATATATATATATATATATATATATATATATATATATATATATATATAGTAATGGGTTCTAATGATACATACGTTTGTTTGTAGGTTTATGTTATGTATAACTTGGTTAAAACAAAGCAATCAAAGTATAATTAAGTTGTGAAAAAAATAAAACGAAAAAACGAAATTTGACTTTTGAAAATAGAAAAATTAAAAAATATCGTAGGTAATCTGTGGGTAAATACCTACAGATTACCTTTATCTGTTGGTAATCCGTAGGTATTTACCTACAGATTACCTACGGTCTTTTTTTATTTTTCTATTTTTCAAGGGTCAAATGTCATTTTTTTAGATTTATTTTTTTCACAACTTAATTATACTTTGATTGCTTTGTTTTCACCGAGTTATACATAACACAAACTTACATACAAACGTATGCACCATTAGAACGTATTACTCATTAAAAACTTATTTTTTTTATATAAATCAAAGTTATTTTCTAAATACAAATACAAATAAGTACACACATTTACACACACACACACCATATGTATGTATTATGTTTAGTATATCATGTATTTGTTTTATGATGTTAATTGTGGTTTGAAGAACAAACATAGATAGCTTTTTGTTTATTATATATATAGTAATGGGTTCTAATGATACATACGTTTGTTTGTAAGTTTATGTTATGTATAACTTGGTTAAAACAAAACAATCAAAGTATAATTAAGTTGTGAAAAAAATGAAACGAAAAAAACGAAATTTTCTATTTGAAAATAGAAAATTTTGACCCCGCCTCATACCGCCACTGTCCCTGCCTCCGGCTGTCGCTACCGCACACCACCACCGACCCTGCCTTATACCGCCACCGTCGCTGTCCCAACACCACCATCAGCGACACCTGCGGGTATGTATTTCGATTTGAGTTTGCTCAAACTTTTACAAGACTTCAATTTTTCAGCCTATTCTTACCTCGCTTTAATGAAGGAATTATTGACTTTTTATGTATATATTACAGAAAATCATAAGATTATAAAGATTAGAGTGCTTCCAGTAGTAATTATTGTTGTAGGGTTCTACATGGCAAGCGTATTTAGTTACCTTAATGTTGTTACTCTAAATGCATATATAATCCAATGTTTTCATCATTTTAATCCAATGTTATATTACAATCGAAAGTGTTTGTGGTTGGATGGCATTCTAAGTTAAATAACTTTAGTCTGAGATGGATTTTCATCATCAGCACCAATTTCTTTTTTATAACTTTAATTAGAGATTAGTTTGATCTTCATGTTTTGGTATTTCTGTAATTGTATTCTGTAATGTTCATGTTCCTGTTTTTAAACTTAGAAAAAATTAATTTACCTAATTAATATAGTGTAATATAATATTTGGTTAACACAACTCAAAATCAATTGGTATTGCTACACATCCATTTCAGTCTCGCATGATAGGAAGGGGGTATTTTATCATTGGAATATCAGCAAATAAATAGCATCTTTGGTAGTGGAAGGGCAGTTTGGGTATTTTAGCTTTTAAATCTGCTAGTAATTTTGTGTCTTTGGGTTATTTGCACATGAGTAGTACATGAAAATTAAGTGAATGGAAAATATTACTCGTATTAGTTCGTTTTCATGTTGATAATTATACATTAGGTTGTGATATAATAAAGATGGGTCATATGTGAAAGAACTAATAAAGACCGGTTTTAAACCGAGTCATATAAGATAAATAGAGGCTTTATAGAAACTTATTTCTTTCCAAGAAACCAAGCTGAATAATACATAGAAACAGGTCCTTTATAACATAATATGTCTGGTTCCTAGATAGCTAGACTTCACAACTTCTACTTACAGTGCCATTAAATAATATCATTAGCATTATACTGATAATCCTTAAAATTACAATCATAGTAGCATAAATCAAATGATCAAAAGTTTTGCAAGCACAATATCATTAAAGCAAAATTATTTGTCATTGTAACATCATTTTATCATTCTA